GGCGCGCTGGCTTCCCACCCTCCTGGCGCCGCGTTTTTATATGGCAGGTGGCCAAGCCTCCCGGGCCCGATTGGAGATCCCTGGCAGGAGTTTACGCCCTTCGGTCGTGTCTTGGCTCCCAGTGGGTTTTCTGGCTCTTTGCTTCTCCTTCTCGCTCGGGACACCCTTCCCCACGGACCCAGGGGGCACCCCTAAACCTCAACCTCCTCATTTCCCCCCCCATTGATCCCTTGCTGGCAAATTGCCCTGGAGATTTTACGATGAAGGGAAGGATGCCAAAGTGAGTTCATCCTTTTGGGGATGAAATTGCTCCCGGGGTGGGGGTTTTCGGGAGAGGAAGGGGGGTCCAGCAAACACCAGGGTTTGGAGGGTATCCCAACCCTTAGGGTTTTCGGGAAGCCCTTCTAAAACACATGGAGGGGTTTAAATAATGCCTTCAGCACTCCATTCCCATTTTCAAGCTTTTTTTTTCTGAGCTGGGCAGGGTAGTGATTTCTTTCTTTGATTTCTGTGGGTTTTTTGGGGGGAGTTTTGCTTCCTTTTATTGCTGCACCTCAAAGGGAAAAGGAAAGGACTCCTGAGCCCACGCACTGGGGCTGCTGCTGTTGGCCGGGGCTTTCCCCAATTCTGGCAACATTTCCCGGCACAAGGAGCCTGTCGAGTCCTCTGGCTGCTCCAAACCCAGGACAGAGACCCGAGACTCAGCTGATTTTGGGGAGATATCCCCGAATGAGTGGGGCTAGGAGAAGAGGCAGCACTCAGAGTCCCTTTACCCAGTCCTTCCCAGGGTCTTGGAGTGGTGGGGAAGCTCTTTCCTGAGAGGGTTTTTCTAGTTTGATTTAGATGTCAGGGATGTCCTGTTTGGGAAGCTAGCGGATGGCGGAGTGATGGGGCTGAGTGAGATTAGAGATAAAAGCTTAATTGCCTCTGCAAGTCTCTTTTCACCAGACGCTGGGAGGATAAGAAGCTGTTGGGAAAGGAGCGGGGAGGAGGGAGCAGCAGCCTGGATGGGGGATGCGAGGGGGAGAGTTTGCCCGTCCAGTGGGGTGGGATTTGCCTGCAGGTTGTTGCTCTGGCTCCGTCACAGGGATTGTAGTGGAAAGATCTCTGTGAAACCAACTTTCTGCATCAGGCATTTACCTTTGTGTGGTTTAACGCTTGGTTTGGGTGGCGTTTTATTTTGCTTCGCGTCAGGTTTTGATGCTCGAATGCCAAGTTGCAGATAGAAAAAAGTCGCAATGCTAAATGAGGAATGGCAACAGGGTGAAAACACACAGTTTCACCAATTTGGTTTTTTTTATTTGCAAATAATAATTATATAGGCAGAAATGAACACCTGTGCTGGGAGGTGTTAAGAAATATAAAAGAGAAATGTATCTCAAAAGATTAGAGGCACTCAAAGCATTAAATACCATTCATAAAAAAGTGGATGCACAGTGATGTGCACAGACCCTGTTTTCCAGTTGTCCTTAGGAAGAAAACCAGTGTCCGTACCCTCCTGGTGGTATCCAGGAGGAGCAAATCCTCTGTGGGAGCGAGAAGGGCCAGACTCCGAACCATTTGTGTTTAAATAAATAAATGCCCTCAGTTGCTGGGTCCCCGAAGTCGCGGTGCTGGAGCGGCAGCATCCTCCCTCTCTTCCTGACTTGTCTTTGGAGAGGCGGGACTGCAGGAGCTGCCTGGAGGGGATGGGTGCTCCAGAGAAGTCCCACTGTCCGGGGTGGCAGAAACCCTCCAGGTTCATGTCCTGTCCCAACGAAGGTCGGGCTCAGAGCAAAGCGGGGGCTTTCCTCGGCTTTTTCCATGCAGTCCTGATCTCCGTGGCTGGCTACCAAGTCCTGATCCCCGCTTGCACGGTGGCTTGCAGGCACATGGGCTGGTGCTGAGCAGCGCTGGCCATGCTCAAGCTCACATTCACGGCGGGACTGCCGGGGGGGACGTTGGGGGCCACCCCAG